AGAGACAGTTGTTAGTATAAAGATTAAAAAAAAATAAAAAAAAAATTCCACACGTCAAGTCAGAAAGCATCATATCTGTAAGCTATTCTCATACTTTCATTGCCAAAACCCTGACTCCTGTGCTTAACTTCATCACTATAGTCACGTTGCTTTTTGCCTTTTTCATGATGGATAATGTTTACTGGTCACCTTGGTAGACCTCCTCAAATTACCCCCTTTACCTAGATCATGATTATTGCCATGTGGATGTGAAAGCTCAGCACAGCACTCTACAAGTGACTGCTGTTGGCAGATGAAAAATAAATACTATTTTCCTCTTTCTGACCATTACTTCCATGCATCTGAGAATGGTATTTCCCCACTGTGTTTCAGCACCTCAGCAATTTCTCCTCTAATAGTTATTTCCTGTCATCATAGGCTTTTCAAAGTCACTCTTTTCCAAGATGCAGTCACTTCTCTTTTAAAACTGACACACTTTCTGAGTTCTTGGAAACGTGAGCTCACATCTATTGGCTGTAAGGCTCACAACAAACTGGTAACACTTTGATTCTTTTTTTTTTACATTGGTTGAGGAAAATATTGAATGAGAACTCTGTCCCAGATAATCCCATCATATGAGAACATCTTACATTTTTATTGTGGTTGTCTGTCTTCCTAATCTCCTTAATAAATGCTGATTTTCCATAATTAAAAAAAAAAATAGCACAGAATACAGAAGTAGAACAAACGCCTTAGAGAAGGTAGCTGACACTAGTTAAAATTACTTCATTAAAACGGGGTTGGAACCAGATGATCTTTAACTTGCAACTCAAACCATTCTGTGATTCTATGACATCAAGAGCACTTGGCAAGATCTGTTGAAAAAAAATTAAAAAATTTGAATATCTAAAAAGCAACTGTATACTCCTACAGGCTTAGCTATGCATAAATACATGTATCCGTATCAAGCAACACAACATCTGTGTATCAAAATGAATGATGAATGTAAGGATCTGGAAGTACCAGATAGCTGGATTTTGCTGTAATCAGCTTCCCTTCCTGGTACTTGTCTAGTGAGAATCATCATCAGGGGTTTAAGTTCTCATACATGAATTCAGAACGTGGTATCTCACTCTAGCTCAAAAAACATTCTTTCAGTAGAAATGCCAAATGAAATTTATGCTTCCTTGACACATACTGGAATATTTTACTTGTGAGCATTTGGTAAGTATGTTGATTCCTGAAATAATAATCTGGTATCATAAATACTTGCAAAAAAGGCAGCAGAAAATATGTTTGTTTTGTCTGTTTTTTGTGTTTAACATTTCACAGTGACTACCTGGGGAGACTCAAATCAAGAACTTCAATGAAAGTATTTTCAGATGTGTCTCCTTAATTTCCAAATGTCACATCTTTTTCCTTCAGAAAGAAAGCATTCTGATTTAGTCTTCTGCTTCCCCCCATCTGCTGTGCTTTTCCAGATCTTTTGTTCAAATTCTATATTAAAAAAAAACCCACATTAAAACACATCCAATTTTAAGACTGCCAACACCAGAGTAACTTCTGAAGTTTAGTGCATATGAAAACAGACTAAAATCTAAAGCCTTTTGTAAATGCCATCCTAAGATTTCCTAACTGCATAATGGCACTCATTAAATAAAACCACCATCAAGTCAGATATGAAATGGATATAAAAATTGTATTGTTGGGATGCTAAAATGGCTATGTCGATCATTAAGAAGTTTAGTTCTGTATTCTTTCTCATCCTGATGAAGTACTTAATTATTAAGTATTTTCCTAGTTAGGTACTAATTAGGCACCTACCTTAGAAATACAAAAGCCACGATCTATGAAAGCTTTTCTCTGGAAAGGTAATTGGAAAATAAGCTTTGGTTCTAGCAGTGGTTTACATTATTTTCTTTAAAACTCCATTTATTTAAAGGAAAACAAAAACTTTCTCATATGAAAACTACAATGTGTTTCCTCACAGGCTGATATGTAATAAAGTGATTCACCTCAGCTGTGCTGCATTACTCTGACTGGAGGGAAAGTATACGGAAGGTAACTAAAGAGGGAGTTTTCCACCCTCAAGTATAAGGTACAGTCTTAAGACTTGTGAGATAATTAACCAAAGAGACTACACTCCTCTGAAAGGGAGAACTATTATTTCTGTATTACTTTAGAAATAAAGTTACCCTGAAACTAACTCCTCTGGACTTTTAGAAGGGAGATTTACGCCAGGTACCTAAGGAGGAATAAAGAAGCTTGAAAGGGAAAGGATTACTGAATGCTAACTTCAGAAGTCTCCTGCCCTGCAATAAGGATGTAATTCAAAAGATAAGTAATCAAGAAGAACTACACTGGAGGAAAATAAGGAAAACAAAGAAAACCACCGACAGAAACTACCCACCCAACTAAACTAGACCTCTCCTCTTCTACAGAGATCACATTTGAAAGAAATATTTATCATTTTTTAGTTCATTTTCTTAAATTATACACACTCTGTGTCTAACATGATAACTTCCTTTTCAAAAAATCCTTTATTTTCTGGACTATCAAAAATTAACCGAAGGCAGTAAAATCAGGAAAAATACAAATGAAGAAAACACCATGCATTTTACATCCATGGACTTGCTAATACGTTTAAACACGCATACTTTTTGTCATACATGCAGTGCAAGTAAAACTTGTTTACAGGGGTTAATCTTTACAATTTTGAGACATATAAAATACAGTATAACCTCTGCTGTTACAGTCAATTTACCATACTCTGGTACACTTCCTTTTTCACTCTTAGTGTTGTGCACTGTGATACAGTATTATTACTCACTAGCGATGATTATTTTAAAAAGAGATGTGATACAAACCCAAGAATAAGAAATCAGTGGGGTACAGACAGCATGCATTTAGAATGATTTTAGGGTCATCATTTAGCTAGTTGAGGGCATGGCTCCACGAGAAGGGGTGGAAGCAAACCACTGCCAGGGCTAGACTGCAGCCCTAGGGCAAGGGAGAGGGTAGGTGCCCACTGTGTTGAAGGCTGAACACCCAGCTCAGCATGCAAACATAAACTCTTCAGCCCAGCAGCTCATGTGATAGAGGACTTAAGAGGCCTGAAATAATTACTGTATATAGTATTTACATGTCCCTCTTCTTCAGAGCACAGTTATGACCTTTCTCCAAGAGAGAAAGCAGATATAAAGTGGACATCACTCAAGCAATTATGCAGACAAGGAACTATTGTAACCACTCTAATTGGATAAGGTTGTTTCCGGTCAGACACACACACAGGGCTGGCAGAACAGCTGACAGGAGAAACAGAATGGCGACAGAATATAACGCCTGCTGTCAGATTCCAAGTCATGAAAATCTCTCAGACAGATCTAGAATATAGCATCTTTTCTGAAACAAGACAAGAGCAATTTGTATGCAGTCCTTTGACTGAACTGTGTACCTTGGTGCAGGCAGCAATGCATGGAATTTGTGCTGATTTACAGATCCCTACCTGGCTGTCACCAAAACTGTCACTGCCTGCTTGCATTTCAAGTCATACATTCACAAACACAAACACTCTACATAGAATAGCTGGCCTGTCACAGAGGACCTGGACTGCATCCTAATATTGGTCCAAGCAACTCAACAAACGTGATCTCAGGAAATTAATGTAGGCATTTGTTTCAACTGAGTTCTTTTGTGCACTTCAGCTGTTCCACTTCAACAATTTATTATGAGTTTTTAATGTGTCTTCCCTGGCTTGCTCAAACTCACAAATATACTCTAGTTACAGCAAGGTACAGGCAAATGATTCTAGAGTCAGGCTAGCACTGTATGTGTAAACACTGCCTTCCATACTGCAGACGAGCTGCACCTCCTCCCCTCAACAAGCTGTACATTCCCTTGTCTTGCATTACTTTACAATGCAAACATTTTGGTTGGGATAAAATAACACAGATACCAGTACATTTCCTTGTTAGCCAAATGTGCATGTGAAACCTCTATGCTTTTGAGATTGCATCAGAGAGCTTTTTCAGGGAGTGGACATTTCATTTTGAATTGTGGTACATTTGCTTTCAATTTATGGTTATTATTAAGAGGAAGGAGCTGCTTCTTTCCCAGGCATGAAACAATTATATTAATCTAAAAATGTCACAAAGACCAACATTTGTTAGTTGAAAATGAAAAGGAGAAAAACTAACCAGAAGGAAGAGCAAGAAAGTTGCCAAGTGCTTTTTGTTTACCAAGAGTGTTTATTTAAAACACTCAGATTACTACTTTTTCTGACAACTTTTAAGGACATGCATGGGGACAGGGAAAGAAGATGAGCAGAAAAATCCTACCCTTCCAAAAAGTCTCAGGTACAGGGAATATTCTTATGAGAGATACCCTTGGCATTATAATTAAGTGTCTGAAACACCCAGATACAACTCCCTAAACATCCACATCTCTGTTTCTACTGTCTCTAAAACAAGGAACGCTTTCCATGAAAGCTTGGGTTGAAAACATACAGTTCTGGAAATAAAAGGAGGACACTTCTTTTTGCATCTAACTCTCTTTTCTATAGAAGAACAGAATCTCAAACACAAAATAAAGCAGGATAAAATAAGCATCTCAGTAAAAACAACACTAACTCTGTCGACACTGGTCTATCTCAATTTGCAACATATGTTGTTAGGTGAAATTCTTCTGCAGGTCTCAAAAAGTCATGAGCAGTTCTGCAAATAACTCCTCCTACACACTGCTCAAGAAAGTCCCAAACACCTGGCATAGACAGCTCATTGATGGCAGAGCAATAACTCAAAGAAGATGCAAACAGCACATGTTGCTTTAGATGATCTTCTGGGATATTACATCCCATAGCAGAATTAGACAGGAGCACCACCATATAAAGGAATAGTATCTAGTCTTGCCTAGAGATATTTCCACTTGACTTCTCTGAGCTGTTATTTGTATTTGTTATTTTGCATTTTCCCTCAATTTTCTAAACTGGTTATCTATTGTATAAAGCAATTAAATGTTCCTACCAATATTGGGATGCTTCAAGAGGCGACAGATTCTAGCTTCTCTTTCCAGTTTCTGGTGATCTGCAACAAAGGAAAGCAAAACAGTTGCTTTTAGTATGAAGATTTACATAGTTCAATGTATTTGCTTTCCAGAAGCACAAAAAAACCCCTCAACCAAACAACATTGTTTCATGTGAACTTTAACATCCTTTATTTAGATCCATTAAGATTTAACATTCAAAACACCTGTAATATTGAATTAGGCTATGGCATCCAACCACTCTGATGGACTACCACAGGTAGTTCCATTAGAAAGCTGCCAATTTACCACAGAGAACAGGAAATAGGCATGCCACAACCTGTAATTATCAGGCAATAAACCACATTGCAACACGAATCAAAAGAAGGACAACCTGCACCTCTTGCCTGAAATCCTATCTGCTAACTGCTTTAATGATACCTAGTGCACCAGGTATACAGTTCAACATGAGGCAGCTGACGACAAATGCCAGCCCTCCTCCCACTGCCATAGGATGCTACAGCAACTGCCAGTAACTAATGACCAGCAGTTATTATTTTCCCAGCAGGGCTCATCACTCTCTCAGAATGATGATTCAGTAACCTGAAGATACCCTGCACATGTAGGTCCTGATGTACCATCTGTTGGTGCCTCTTCTCCTGGCCATTTGAGTTTTTTTAACCTTTGGGTAGAGAGCAGGCTTTAGGTCTGAACCTGTATACCACACAGCCCTAATGACACGTCTGGAGATGGAATACCACCTTCATCAAGCTCCAGTTTACTTAAGCTATTTGTGGGGTTTTTTTCCCATGTTACACACTTGTATATTTGCTCCAAACACTACCATTTATAGGACTACTGCATTTTGGTTAACATTAAGTAATATAGTACTTGTTTCACATAATACACATGAGAGTTTTCAAGGGATTCATAAATTATTTATCCTGGAAATACCTGAAAGTCTTCAGGTATGTTAAAATGCCTAGTGTTAGGCAGTATAAAACACACACAGGTAAGCTGGCAACAAAATATGCCATTTGGAGATGATAAAAATAGCCAGCTACTGCCGCATGTAATCCTGTAACTTCAGCAGACTTCCACTGCATATATCCTCACTTTCTGCAGCATAATTTCAATGGCTCCTAAGAACAAAGCTTTTGTCAAGAGGCAGAAAAGCAGCACAGATTCAATCTTATATTAGCTAAAATAACTTTTCAAAATTAGAAGATAAATGAACTGTAAAATGTTCTTGGAGATGAGGCTCTTTTGCTTTTAACTAGCTCCAATTTGATATTCAAGGATATTGTAATAAACAGTGCTTCATAAAAACTCATACTTAAAACGTCACAAAGACAATTTGGGTTGTGGCATCTATCTCTGCAATCCTAATTAACCTAACAACTAAAAGGGGAAATTCTTAACTGCCCTTCCACCCCATAAAAACAGCAGTCTGCACAGTAAGCTTTGAGTGGAATAACCAATATTTAGAGAATACAAGATTTTTAATCTACAAAAGAATATTAGACATCAGAATATGACAGCAAGAATGAAGAAATTACCTGGTTTTGTAATATAACTCCTACAGGTCTATTATGGTAACTGTTCACTCTCATAATACCATCTCATAATACCACCAGTGTAATTAGGTTATCTTTCCAAGCTGGTAAATCATAAATAAAACCTCTGAAAACCAATTTAACATCAGTTTCTTGGACAAAAGTCAGAATGGGCCTCAAGAGAAAACATACTGTAGACAACCCCCTCCTGAGTGCCTGAATATAGTAATGTGGTCCTGACACCCTCCTTTTAGCTAGTACTTGGCTCCGCAAATTGCCTCAGCACTCCTCCTTTCACCCTTCTCTTCTGCGGGGAGCCCTCACGTTCCCTTTCAAGCCAACCACAATCCAGAAACTTCTCCTTCCCAAAACAGCCAAGAGGGGACAGGCAGATTTGCAGCCGCATTTAAGCACAGGCAGTTACCAGGCTCTGTGGAAAGTGCACTTCCAGCTCTGCTCTTCCCAATCCAGCATTGGGTGCTACTCTTTTAGAGAATTTAATCTAAACATAGATCAGCAGAGTCACCCCAAAAGTGGGAAAATAAAATTCTAGACAGAGGGCTCTGTCAGCCCAAGGGAGACAGAGCAGCACAGCATGACAAGGGTGGCATCACCAGCCCCTGCATAAAACACGTGAGCTGTGCTGGGATCCATAAACACAAACAAGGCATCTTCCCACTAAAATTACTTCCATATCCCAGTTGTTCTAGTAGTGATTACTATTGATTAACATGGGATTGATTACTAACATTGATTACCAAGGACTGAACTGGGATCTTGAGTGCTGCTCTCCTGCCACTGGCTGTGTCCATAAGCAGCTAGCCAGCTTCCGCTGCCTGCCTACACAGTGCACTGAACCACCTGACTGCAGGCACAACCTCCCAAGTGTGAGAATGACAGAAGTAAAATAACAAATGGCAACAATTCCAATCTTCTGGCATATTTTAGTGGTTACAAAAGCAATGATGTCTAGAGGAATATATCAAAGATTAACACACACAGTAAGATGACATTTGACTCCTGTGTTTAAAAGTGCATGGAAATAAAGGGACAAGCAGGGCAGGAAAATCTTAACCTTCTCCTACAGAAGATGTCTCTGGTGTAGCATACAGCCTTACATCAGAGACGCTTTGCAGACAGCTCCGGGTCTGACACATTCAGACCCACCTCCTTAAAGCCAACCTCATCCAAGTCAGGCTGAAGAGAGACAGACTGGCCTATTTTACATGTATTTGGAAAGTAAACTCTTAAATCACAGCAAATAGTGACAGAAGAGATATATTAAGTCTCCAGCTCTCCTGACAGATCTTGACTGTAACTGTCCTCAATTAATGAGCACTATTTATGGTAGTTCACACATCCAACTGTTTAGGGCATAGTAAGTAGAGACTTAAGCACAATTAATGTGTCAACAGAAGTCACCAAAACCAGCAATGAATATGAATGCAAGAAGTGCTGTAAAAATGATAGCTGCTCAACTACTGCAACACATTTTAAATCAGGACAATGTCAAGAAATAGGGGAGGGACACATTGTCTTTATCCACTAAATTTTGTGTGTTAAAACCAAGCAAATCTGTATTTGTGACATAAGCACTGCCCTGAAGCTCCAGCAGACGGGATACTAGAAGAAGGGTGCTGAAGCCCTGTTCCAAGAAGAACAGAGTACCAGGTTTCACACATAAACTGGCTGATGACTCATCAACATAGACCTGAAGTGTAAAGTAAAACACCAAAAAAAGCATGAAAACAAGCAGAAACTGTAACTGGATTGCTTCTAGCCATATTGCTTTGCGGAAAATATATGCAGCATTTGTGTAGGGCCTGCTCATGAATCAAGAGGGGATCTAAATCAAAGATCCACTGACTGCAATAATAAAAAGTCATCAAAAATTGTATTCGATCTGAATGTTAAGGAAATATCAAAATAACCTGGACACAGCTGTCAGCAACACTTAAATGCTATCATAACAAAAAAAAAAAGGAAATATGAGGACATTGATAAATATATGAGGTAGAACTACATATAAAGGCACGTTACTTTTACATTCTTTGAAATTAAAACAGATTTCCAAAGTTGAATAACAATAAAGAAGGCACCGATTAAGCAGCAGAGATTAAGGCAAACATGGAGTTCTGCTGCTTTCGCAATTCCCTCTATAATAAATGGTAAAACCAGTCACAATACAAAATGTCAGCCTCTACAGGCAGAATTATAAGAACAATAAATATAGAAACATGTAACAAATGTACTTTCTCAGAAAAATTCAAGTACTTGGTTTCCACATTGCAAATCTAATGTAATGCATTGACAAGAAAAATATACCAATTTACTAGAAAAATAAGCACTATCATGCAAACTGTCTGAAAAAACTGAGCCGAAGTAACACCTTCTGAAGGCAAGTAACATGCACCTGAAGCATACTTAAATATCAGTTCATTAGCAGGGAGCTCTTCAGTACATCTTCCCTTCTGTTAGGGATGTTATTCTCACCTATTTTTCATATAAATAGAACTCATAAAAAGCTAGCAGTTTTCATTCAAATCATTCCAATGATGACTTAATTTTTTAATACAGTATTATTTGCTAGAAGTTTCTAAGACTTTTTGAAGCCCACACAGATGTACAGCACAATTCACTTTGTTTTCTGTACAATAACTATACTCTTTTAAACGAAGGAGGTGAACAAAAAAGATATACTACAACAAGACGTCAATAAACATCACATATTGCCCAAAATCAACTTTGGAAAATACAGCTGTTTGGGTTGTACAAATTTGTTGCAACTGAAATATAGTGCTTTAACCCTTACAAAAATTATCGTGTGTCACAATATCTACATAGTAAGGTTAGTACCGAAAACACTAAGGAATGAACAAGTTTAGAAAAAGTTGTTTTGGATTACACCTCTCAGAATCAACAATACAGCATCACAGAATATCAGAATGGTTTGGGTTGTGAAAGGACCTTAAGATCATCTAGTTCCAGCCCCCTGCTATGGGCAGGGATGTCTCACACTAGACCATCGCTCAATCTGGCCTTGAACACTGCCAGGGATGGAGCATTCACCACTTCTCTGGGCGACCTGTGCCAGTGCCTCACCGCCCTCACAGTAAAGAAGTTCTGCCTTATATCCAACCTGAACTTCAGATGTTAGGAAATTTAACAAGCTATTAAGCATCAGTTGATAAGGAAATTAAACTCAATCCTTACTGCAAAGCAGATAGTCAGATACATATGTTTAAAACAACTATAACAACAGTTTTAAAATAAAACATAAAAAGCAAACCCCATCTTTAAAATAGCTAGCACTTCAAGTTTGCAAAACACTTTTTAAATATGGAGGGGGGGAAAAATCAAGAAAGTAAAATTCATTAGTTTTTCTATAATTAGTACTTCCCAATATTCCCGTAAGAATTCTCTTTGAGGCCTCAAAGTCTATCCCACTTGCATGAGAAAATTTGTCAGCTTAACCTTTCTCTGCATTTGTGTTGATCATTTTTAAA